ACGCATCTCTGGACAGGGGCCATGTTGTTAAATGTGACTGTTCTGGTAATACCTCATTTTTGAAAAGATTTTTCTTTCTCCTCAGAAAAAATTTTTTGACTGGGACAGGATTTTAGCCTGAGGAACTCTTGACACTACTCACCCCTCTTAACTACTTGCTGGTAAGAGGAAGCTTCACACCCTCTGTGGCTTTGGGGCTTGAAGAACTCTTCAAGCTCAACCCCCAAGACTTCCTTCCTGTGCTTGGTTCTTTTCCAAGGGGACTTTAGCATTTCTCTAAAGGAGGGCTTGATGTGGCCATGGAATTGAAGCAGGTGGGTGGAGTTCTGTGAGGGGGTCTGGTTCAAAGCTGCCTGGTAGAACATGCCAATACTTTTCCTTTGTGAGAAAGGTGGGATAAAGACCTGACCCCTGGAGGCCAATTGCTGGAGTACTAGACCCAGCTGTCCCAATCAGCTGAGTGAATCCAGCTTATGTTTTTGACTGTCTACCCATACACAAACCTTGCATAATGACATGAGGAGTCTTATTACTATTCTGTGCTTAGAACTGTGCTTGGTATGTAGTGCATATTAATATGTTAATTTTTAATATTAGGTTTCTTCAGATGGGCTAGGAGCTCTTAGCTTTCTGTCACCATGACAGAATACTTGAGAACATCAATTTAAAGAAGTAAAGATTTAGCTGGGTATGGTGGTCCTTGCCTGTAACCCCAGCACTTGGGAGGATGAGGCAGGAAGATTGCTATGAGTTTGAATCATGCCCAGGGGCTACATAGTGACTTCAAGGCCAACCTGAACTATATAGTGATACCTTGTTTTTTTAAAAAAAGATTTATTTTGGCTCTCAGTTTCAGAGTTTTCAGTCCATGTTAGTTGGCTTTATTGTTTCTGGGCCCATTATAGCAGAAGATTATGGCAGAGACTAGGTGGTGGAACAAGCCTATCACTGCTTTCCAGTTTAGAAGTAGAGTGAGAGAGCCAGAAAGGGACCAAGGACAAAAATTCAAAGCCTTCAAAGCCACATCATTCTTTTTAAAACATTTTTTTAAAAAATCAGTACCAGGGATCGAACTCACAGCCGCCTGCTTGCAAGGCAGGTGCTTATGCCGCTGAGCTAAATCCCTAGCCCCAGCCACATCATTCTTGATGTGCTAAGCAAAGAACTGAGCAAGGCACCGAGCATAGCAGTAGGATTAGTGATTTGAAAAAGAAAAGACAAGATACGCTCTACAGGGTGAATGTAGGCCAGTGAGATGGCTCATGGAACCAAGGAACTTGGTCTAGAGGGTTTTAAGCCTTAAGTTTGGTTTGGCATTGAGGCAATGGTGTTTTTGACCTTTTATAATCCTTGGAGGAGCTGTCATGGCAGCAAAAGTCCGTAGAGCGCTTAAATCTACATAGTCAGTGACATAGTAGCTCTGGTTTGCAGAAGGCTGATGAGCGCATTCCTGGGGACTTGTATATAAGCTAAATTATCTTGTTAGCTTTTCCCATTGTGATTAGACCTAGGCATCTTTGTTCTGTGCTAATGTTTAATTCAGAAGGTGAACCTAGTTCCAGAAAGTAGACCCACACTGGGCCCTGCCTTTTTTTCTCAGCAGACAGGGGGGCCCTCCATTCTTTTTCTAGCCTTTTCTATGGCTGCTTCCTGTTTCTATTAGACATGCATAGAGCAAGGAGAACAGTGTGGAACAGACTGCATGGAGCAGAAGGTATATGTTAGCAGATGACTATAGACAGCATAGTAGATGATTAATGCCTTGGTAGAAAGATCTTCAATAAAGACAGGTCAAAGATTGGTAAAGAGAGAAAGAAGCCAGATATAGATTAAGTGATAGAAAGAAATCACTAGCTGTCTTATATGTGTTCAAATACTTAAGTTTTTGTAAAGGTAGTCTTTTTTCCTGTGAAGGTAATTATCTTAGGGTTCACAGTCTCATCTGAAACTAACTGCTCAGTTCTGTTACTGAAATGAGAAAGCAGCCATTGCACTTTGGAGGTGAGTAGGTATGGTATGTCCAATAAAACTTTATTTATAAAAATAGGCAGCTACCCAGATGTGAGCTGGGCTGCAGTTTGCTACAGTGAAGTTCAGTCACTGTATTAGCGTGGTAGCAACTGAGGAAAAAAAAAAAAAACCTTGCAGTTACAATATAGAATCCTTGAAAGTCACCTCTGGTAGCTGCAGGAAAGAAGAAGTAACCCACAGGCTGGAGAAGGGCAAGGAACATAGCACACCGCTCTTTAAATGCTTTGATACAGAAGTGACATGACCTTCATTTTTTGTCCATTGGTCAGAGGAAATCACACGAGTCTAGCCCAGTAACATCAGAGTTTACAAAAATCAGGGAGCATGTGACACATTTGGCAAGAACTGTGTGGGCATTTCTATTCCTTGATTTTGTCACTGAGTTACCTTTAGCAGAGTGTGAGCAGTTCTTGAGGAGGCTCATGGAGATGAGCTAATGCTTTGTGTGTGTGTGTGTGTGTGTGTGTGTGTGTGTGTGTATAATACTGGGAATTGAACCCAGGGTCTTTACATAAGCTACTTCTATAGTTCCTCCATGCTGGTTAAGTTTCTAAGACTGGGCTTGAACTGTGATCCTCCTGCCTCAGCTTCTTAGATTGTTGGAATTACAGGCTTGTGTCATCACATGTAGCTTGCGCTAATGGTTACCTTCTGTTGTTTGGTGTCCCATATAACCAAAGGAAGCCTCTGTGATACAGCTGGTTAGACAGGACAAGGAACGCAGCATTAGGCATGGGAAGTACAATTCTGTGTGGCCAAGCTGTGGCTTTGGACTCCTTGGCTCTCTGAGCTGATGAAAATTTCAGAGCTGTTTGAAGGATGATAGAGATCAAAATATAGCTTCAGCTGTTTTGACTCCTCGAATTAGATTCCAGCGGAAACAGCAAAGGTTAAGACCCTAATTCTGTGCAATGGATGTCTCATTTCATGATGATCTTATAAAGAAATATTGAGTTATATCATCCCACTAATACTGTACACCACACCTATAACATCTGAACTCCAAGGCATGGCAAAAATAACTCAATTTCTGCCTCTCTCTTTTAACTGTTCTTACACAGTGCTCTAATACTTCTTGAGAACAGAAACCTTGTGTCTGCTGCTTGCAGTTCTGAGAATAGTATTTGGCATACACTTTAATATCTATCAAATGCATGAAACTAGACTTGACTTTCAAAAAATTTACTAACTTCATATAATGGAACCTTTTATCACTGAATTTTTTAGCATAATCACAATTTTGATATGCTATTAATATATACCTATCATATTTTGAGGATCAAAACATTAGTTTTGTTAATAAAGGAATACGTGAAGAAGTAAAACATAATTTCATGTCCAGTTCAAACTCCTTAGCAGAATTTGGTTGTCAGAATGGAATTAACTAAACTGGGTACTGTCCAGCATACCAGGCTTAAATTATTGGGTAAGAACACATTAGGAAAATGAACTTGGCATCTGACAGAATATTTTTTAATGTGGAAGTGAGTGACCTTGGATTTAGTTTCTTTTAAAAGCCGGCTTTTTCTGGCAGGGGCAAGAGATGACACATTGAAGGAGCCAAGATTTTGCAATGACAGCAGCAATATCAGTTGTGTTGTTTTAGAGATTTCATTTTTCAGTACCCATTGTAGTTAGGAATGTGATAGACCAATTGCACTTTTATTTTGTCAGAGTTTATCTTTTTCATTTGAAGAATCACCCATGATTGCAGTTGATTATATTCCAAGGTTTGTGAGCTTTGAGACATGAATCCAAAAAGAAACCATTTATTTATTTTTCTTCTTTCTCTTTTTTCACTCCTATTTAATGATCCCAACTGTCATATGATTCATGTGAATGAATGAAATGTTCACTATTTTTCCACAGAAGCTGTCTTTGAAGAAGCCAATATAATCCATCATACTTTTCTCCAATGAGTTCATCATGACATTCTGGGAGTTTGAAAAGATATCTCCTCTGTGTCAGACTGTCCTAGGGTGGATTATACCCCTTTGCTAATTTTTGACAACAGATACAAGACAGGATGATAACACAGCAGGATAAACAGAGAGACGTTAGGTAGAAGGCATTCATACATGGATGGTGGAATTGAAAAGTTCAGATGGAGTAGAGGCTGAGCTACAAGGAATCTTTAAAAAGGTTTTCTGTCTGACTGGGTGTGGTGATGTATGCCTAGAAACTTAGCTACTGGGGAGCCCAAAGCAGGAGGACTACAAGTTCAAGGCTAGCTTGAGCTACTTAGTGAGATTGTGTCTTAAAGTGAAAAAAGGACTGGGATTATAACTCAGTGGGGAAGTGCTTGCCTAGCATTTCCTGGGTTCAGGAAAAAAAAAGGCTTGTCTATGTAGCACCATATTTGAGTAAATTTATGAATTGGAAATCTATTTTAGACAGTGGAGGGAGGCTTTCTTAAGGCATTTGTATTCCTGTCTAATAAGGATCCAAATGATTCAGAGAATTCAAATACAGTCTATGGATGCTGCTTTCAGTGGGATTTTAAGGAAATCACCCCCCAAAAACCTCCCCCCCCCCAGCCCGGTATGGATGGTGTACCTACAAGTTTTATTTATAGCCTTTTTTTGGAATAAAAGCACTTTTTTCAAAGAGCCTGAGAAAATAGTGATATTTCAACTGGGGGAGAAGGAGGGTCAGTTGACAGGGATGGAGTTGGTTTATTTTAACTGTCAGCTAAGAATGAAAGAGATTTGAAAAGAACTGAATAATTATATTCACCACAAATTTGTATGTTGGAAGACTATGCTGAGAAGTGGTGGTATCAGGAGTCAGGTGAGTATCAAAGTGATTGCTCTCGTGGTGGAGAGCTTTAGGAAGGAAAAATGGTCAACAAAAACCTCTTGTTTGGAGGAGCTAGCAAAGAGAGCCAGGATGTTAATGAGAACATGAGCACATATGAGCTAAAAAAACCGACTGTGGCGTCACTCTGCCTTCTAGCTTGTCACTTAAGAGTGTCAATTGTGGCCCACTCAACAGAACACCTGCAAAGAAGAAAGCTGTGAAATGCGGTTCAGCTTTGTGAAGGCAGAACAATGCTATTCTTCAATTCATGGCTACAGGGGAGCAGAGCACAGGGTCAGAGCATCAACAAGGGATACACCCTCCAAAGGTACACCCCCAGGACCCACCTCTATCTGGGCCCCACCTCCTAAACGGCACATTCAGCTATGAACAGCAATAGATTAGTCCACTGATAAGTACAAGACCCCCATGATCCAATCACCTCTCTCCTAGAGTCTCCTCCCAGTCAAATTGAAAATTAAACTTAACTAGACACAACCTTTCCCCCATCTTTCCCTCCCCTAGCTTCTGATAACATTTTTCTCTCAAATTCTATGAAAGCAACTTTTTTAGATTCCATATCTGAACACGATTAAGTAGTACTTGCCCTTTTGTATTGGCTTATTTCACTTAAAATAATCATCTCCAGTTCCCTCTATGTTGTTGCAAATGATAGGATTTCATTCTTTTTATGGTTAAGTGGTGATTACCACATTCTTTTGATCAATTTGTCAGTTGATAGACACCTGGGGAGATTCCATTTCTTGGTTATTGGAAATGGTAATGCAATAACATGGGAGGGTGTTTTCAACATAGTGATTTCATTTGCTTTGAATGTGTTGTACCCACTGGTGGGATTGCTGAATTGTCTGGTACTTCTATTTTGATTATCATAAGGAAACTCCGCATTGATTTACATAATGTCTACATTAATTTACATTCCCATAAGAGAGTGCTTGAGAGTCACAAGCACTTGTTAACTTTTATCTTTTTGATAATAGCCATTTTTAGTACAGTGTGGTATCTCCTGTGGTCTTGATGTGCATTTCTGTGGGGATTAGAAATGTTAAACATGTTTTCATATACCTCTCAGCCTTGTGGGTCTTCTTTTGAGAAATGTCTGCTTAGGTCTTTTGCCCATATTTAAAACTTTTTTTTTTTTTTTGGCTACTGAGTTTTTGGCATTCCCAAGTGCTTGGGATATTAGTCCCTTATCAGGTATATAGTTTGCAATATTTTCTCCCATTCTGGAGTGTGTCTTCACTCTTGTTGATTTTTTCCCCTTTGCTATGCAGAACTGTTTAGTTCAGTTTAATCTCACTTGTTTGTTTTTGCTTTTGTTCCCTGTGTTTTTGGACTTTAGTCCAAAAAAAATCCTTGCCCAAGCCAACATCCTGATGTATTTCCCCTGTTTTCTTCTAGAGGTTTCATTGTTTGATGTCTTTCATTTAAGTATTTAACACATATTGAGACAGCTTTTATAACTAGTAAGAGATAGGTATTGAATTTCATTTTTCTGCATGTGGGTGCCCACTTTTTCTAGCACCATTTATTGAAAAGATTGTCCTTTCTCAAATGCATATTCTTAACATCTTTGTTGAAAGTCAGTTTCTTAGATATGTGGGATTATATGTGGGTACTGTATTCTGTTTTGTTAGTCCAGGCTTCCACAGTAAGTCCCCAACTTACAAATACTCAAGTTGCAAACTTTTAGACATGAACAGACCTCACATTGGGTACATTTCTAGATACAAACATACCATGGAAGTAGCTCACATGTCCACCAGATGTTGTCACAGTTGTGCTGCTGTGTGCTCATGGTACAGCACCATAGCGCATAGTAGGACAGTATAATTGGGAATATACTATATTTTTGTGTTTCGCTTTTTATGCTTTGTGTTGTATATTTGTGTCAAAGGTATATGAAACTCACTTTGTTGAACTTACAAATAAATCTGACTTACAAATGTTCTCCCGGAATAAAACTCATTTGTAAGTCAGGGACTTACTATATTTTTATGCTAATATCGCACTATTCTAAGTAGTGCAGCTTTGTACCATGTTTTGGTCAGGTAATCAGAAACTTCTAGGTTTGTTCTTTCTGCTCAAGATTGCTTTGGCTATTCTGGATCCATTGTGCTTCCAAATGACTTCTAGGATTTTTCCTTAATTTTTTGAATAATGTTATTGATATTTTGATGGGAATTGTATTGAATCTGTAAATAATTTGGATAGCATGGACATTTTTAACAATACCAAATCTTTTAATGAACACAAAGTATCTTTCTATTTATTTTAGTGTCTTTCATCTATGTCTTAAACTTTCATTATAGAGATCTTTTACCTGCTTTATTACTTGTATTCCTGAGCTGTATTTGTTTGTAACCCTTGTACTGGAGTTCCTCTCATTTAACCCCAAGGAACGTGTATTACTTTTTGTCTCCCAGGGCTCCTTCAATCACAATGTAGCTGGCTGGTCCTGCTTACCTGATGTCTCTCTTAATGCAGAACAGACCTCTGCAGGTCTTAGGCAGGATTCTGTGGCCAAATAATAGACTTTTGCGTGGTTCTCATCTCAGCTAATTTTTATTTTAAATAGACTTTATTTTTAGAGAAATTTTAGGTTCACAGCTGGTGGTGGCCAAGAGTGTTACTGTATTTTTCTTTAAGACAAAAGATGTTAATGTAGGAGTTGTTTTCTCTCAACTAAAACCTCAGTATTCAGGTTTAATTGCAGTGTTAATGCTTTTCAATAAATAAGTGAGTTTTGATTGAACAGAAAATACAGACTACCCACGTACCCCTGAATTCACATACTCTGTCTCCCTGTTACAACATCTTGCTAGCGCAGCCTATATTTACAAGGTTAGTATCTTCTCTGTCCCACTCTCTGTCTAAAAAGTCAAATTTGGACTGCAGTTTCCAGTGGTATTGCTGGGCCCTGGGTCCTGAGCCCCTGCTTACCTGGGCTACCAGGCTGTCAAGTGTCCCCTACCTTCACCCCTTTAGAGAAGATCAAATGGACACACAGGAAGTACTGACAGACAGATGTGCAGGCTCCAGGTGCTTTTAGACTGGGCACTGCTGGACCAAGGGCTGCTCTGCCTAGCCCTGTCAATTCAGACAACTTTCTCTTAGTCAAAGGCTATGAGTTTTTTTCTAGGAATTTTTCAGCCCGCATTTCACCTTTTGCTTTTTAGTTTCTCATCCTAAATTGGCTTAGTCTGCCCTCCAGACTTGCTTAAGATTAAGTTCCCTATTTAATGTTGAGCATCTGCACTGAGTCATAGTTTGTCACCCCACAGTTGCTCACTGAGAGATGCCTTTCAGGCAGGCAGCCTTGCCCTGTGGCTGAGAGGAAGTGGAGCCCTGCCAGACACCCACACCTTTAGGCGGAGCTGTGTCTGAGAACCAGTGGGGTGATGTGTCATCTGCTGGGAGGGAGGGAGGAGAGGGAGGGGAAGGATGTAAGAGTGGGTAAAGGGAGAGGATGAGTGGGGAAGCAAAGAGGGAGGGCAGAAGAGGAAGGAAGGGCAGCATCGGGCCTGATGTCCCATGATTTGAGGGGGCCTGGGGCTGTACTGGCTGTCTGAGGGAAAAGGAGGTGAGGTCTCTAATGAGCTTTCTTTGCTTGAGAGTAGGGGGGATGAGGTCACACCTGGGTTTGTGCTATTTGGGAAAGAAGGAAATGAGATCATCTGGAGTTTCCTTGGTTTTTGTTGGAGAAGTGAAGGGAGAGGATACATCCTGCCCCAAAGGCCTTGTTTCAGGGACTGGGAGATATGAAAGACTTCTGTCTCTGGAGGCAGGGCTGCCTGTTCCCACAGTTTGCCCAGGGTCACCCAGGCTGTCACTGTGATCCCCAGTGGCTTTTGCATTTGTGAGTCCCTTCTTCCATTAGAAACAAAAACAGAACAAGAACAAAACAAAACCCTAAAGATGTTTTACAACTATGTCATTGTAAAGAGGCATATAATCCAGGCTGCATTCATTGTTTTATAAGTGATACTAATTTTTCTTTGGATTTAAAAAGAAGTTAAAAGTAAACTATTTTTGTGAGCCTCTAAAAGCATCCTGAGCCTGAGGTTCCGTGTACCTGCTGCCCACAGTGGGTAGATTGGCCCCGAGGTTACTGGGATAGTCTGGGTTCTCCTCACCTTCACAAAGGACTGGGGCTGGAGGCTCCACGTGGCAGCCATCAACAGCCTCTGACCTCACTTGATCTGTCTGGGATGCTCTGCCAGGGCTTGGGCTGAGAAAGTACCCGTAGCTCTGGCTGGCCTCCTTGTTCTGGGAGAGGGGGCTGTGTAGAAGCAGGATGGTCCAACAGGTAACTCACTTAAGGTGCAGGACACTTAGGCTAAATAATCCATCAAACAGAAAATACTGGCCATGTCCCCAGGCAAAGGCAGAGATCAGTGGGGACTCTATTTTGGAAACTCAGTATCAAGGGTAATCAGTCAGTTTTGAGGACACAATATAAACAAGGTGGAAGTGATCATATACATTTTTCACATTCATTCCTTCATTAGGCACACACTTAGTAAACATCAACTGCATGTCAGGTACCTTTTGCCTGGCTATCTTTACTCTTACCCAACACCTGGGCCCCATCCTTCTCCAGACTATGGGGCTGGACCTTTTATCTCCTCCTTTTGACACACAGGCTAGTTATGTACACAGAGCCCCATCTGAGGCCAGCTGCCCATCTCCCTACTTCTCCTGTGTTGAATATTGAGGGGTGCAATCCAAGTGTCAAATGTTAAGCCAGAGCCCTAACTCAGGCAAGGAGGCCCTGTCAGACATCCAACTTCTGGGAAATGAATCAAGAGATCTAGATTCAGGTTTTGACACAGATTTTTGGGGGGAGATTTTGTTTTTTGAGAAATACACTAGAGGTTGGGGGAAAGGGACTCATTCCCTTTGGAAGATAAGTGTTTCCCACCATTAAAGGCAAGGCATTGGGTGGGGGACACTGGGTTTTGGATCCATTTTCCTATCTCTTCCTTCTTTGATTACATTTCTTTTTCTCTCAGCAAGTACCAAAGAACACAGTCACAAAGACAAGGAATGAAAACAGCAAGATCAACTTCCAACAGGGCCACGGCTAAGCCTTCTTTCCCTCCTGCACAGGCTTCACCAGGGCTGACTGGGGCAAGAGTAGCTCACTCTACAGATCCCAGGCTGTACTGGAAGACCAGGGACTCAGGTAGGGGTGGGGTTTTGTTAACAAATTACAAAAAATTGATGGTAGGGGGAGTGTAATTTTGTGCTGGGAGGGCTTCTTGTCTCCAAAATGCAAGATTGGGTAAGGCAGGGATAGCTCCAAAGCCCAATAGAGTGGGGGTAAGAGTGGTGGGGCAGAAGTTAGCTGTTCTTCCACATCCGTACCAAACAGAGCAGAATTACGGGTGAGGGGAAATGAGGGGAAGAGACACACATGGGAATGGAACCCTCTTTCTTAGATTACGGGAAGGCCAAGAAAGAGAATGCTTTGCAACCTTCATCTGCCAAACCATTACTAAGGGGTTACAGGAATGGGGAAGACAGAAGGAAGGGAAGAGAATGGGAAAGTAAAAAGGATTAACATGTGATATATATGAATACCAGTTCCCCAACACAAATGTATTTATTATGTTTTGCAAACATATACTGATAAAGGGGGAGGCTGGAGATATAAATGCATTCCTGCTCTCAGGAAACTTGTGTATTGTACTCTTGAATTCCCCATTGTGTCTGTTTATAGCCACAATGGAGAGGGAGAAACAGAATGAACTTGTTAGGAGCCTCGTTACCTATTTTACCTGCCAGCAGCCTGTTAGGCATTATGTCACTTAATCTTTCATAATCCAGGGAGCACATATTATTGCTTGTTTCACAGATGAGGAAACAGCCTCGCAGAGGTTAAGAAGCCTCCCACAGTCATACAGTTCACAAGTGGGGCTGGGAAGCAGTTCTCACTCATTCCAACGTCAGCGATGAAAATTCCACCTGGGTATGCCTCCTTACTAGTTATGATTTATGGTATGGCAAACTTAGCTTACTAATAGCTTTCTCAGAGTGGGTTTATAGCGGAAAGTTAGGAATACTCCCTTTTGGCAATGATGAGGGCATATTACCTCAGGAAGAAGCTAGGTTCAGAAAGAATAGGGAGGAGCCCATGTTAGGAATGTTGAGAAGGCAGGGGATTCTTAGCTCATCTGGCTTGTAGTGCATAACAGTAAGTAATTGGAGTTATTTAGACTTGGAAAGACATATGTTTTCATACAGCAGGTGAAATGCCAAAGTAACATGTCCTTTAATGTGTAGTTCTGCACTGCATAATGACATTTGAGTCAATGATAAACCATATCACTCTAGATGACCACATAAAATTATATTGCCTAGTAATGTTGTAGGCATCTTAATTTGTGGGACTGTACTCTAATGTTTGAACAGTTATGAAATCACATATGCATGGCATTTCTCAGAACATATCCCATGTTTAAGTGACATGTGGCTATACGTTCATGCCTTCTGGTTAAGAGGTGTGCAGCAGTTACTACGAGTGTGAATTTAAAATGTAATTGTCTCACCAACACGCAGTCAGCAGTCAGTAGTCCCCTGTCCTTGGTTTTTCTCTTCATGGTTTCAGTTAGTTACTTGAGGTCAACCATAGTCTGAAAATAGAAAATAAAAAATTACAAAATGAAGAAATCAGTAAGTTTAAAAAATTTTATTTCTGGATTGCTATATTTTTTCTATTTTATTATTAATCATTTCTCTTAGGCTCTTCCTATTAGGCTCTTGCCTAATTTACAAACTAAAGTTTATCAGAAGTATGTATGTATAAAAGGAAATAATACAGGTTTTGGTCCTGTCTGTGCTTCTTGATATACACTAGGATCTTGGAATACAAGGGGTGACTACTGTGTCCTGGACAGCACAGAATGCAAACAAGTTACATATCAAGGAGAAAAGCAACTGGATAAAAAATTTCTGGGATGTACACAGCAGAATCTCTGATCAGCTGAGTCTCCTTCAGGAAGGTGATGCAGATCTCAGCAAGTGTAATTCAGAAGCCCAATCAGAAATCACTGCTCCAGATCTGGATGCAGCAAGGTGAACACCAGTCCTGAAGCAGCTCTTAGGTATGGACTTGGTTTTTGCCACATTCTAGAGATGTGTGTGTACATCTGATGTGAGGGGCAAGTATTCATGGGAGCCAGATTATAGCAGCTCTTTAGAGAGTGTTGACCTCTCTGAGATATGAAACTGCAGTTTCAAACACTTAAAATCTACTTACGAACAACATCAGCAAATATACTTCCTCCTGGTTTTCTTCTGCTATGCTTGTTTACGCTTTTATACTGAGTCCCACATATAATCCATTCCTGCCCCTGTGGACTTGGTCCACAATAGTAACTGACAGAATGACCTGCTGAGACCCATCGCTGCCATTATAGGTCCATCAACTGATCTGTTTCTCTCTCTTCTAAGCCCAAACCCGTTTACCTACACAACTTACTTTAGAGGCCAAAGGTTATTTTTTCTTTTCCCTCTAAATATCCTGTCAAACTCATAAGGAGAAGGGGTGGTTATTACTACATTTTCTAAATGGAAAAATGTAAACAACTTCAGTAACTAAATACAACCAGAAGTGAAATGTCTGAGGAGAATTATATAGATCTGCTATTATCACTTCACTAGCTAGTCCCAGAGAAGCAGCGAGGAAGATTCAGAAACAAAGTCAGCTATGATATAGTAAGGTTGTGAAATTGAGACGGAGACCATTAGGAGGACAGAGGACAGGTGAACTTCAGGTCCTTAACTCAGGGCCTGTTATCCATTAGAAGTATGGTACATGTTTTTGCCGAGCCCATCACTATCCAAAATAAACTAATCAACCTCAAAAATGAGAAGTGTTGTTAAAGCCAGGAAGCCTTCACCATAGTGTCTCTAAGAATAAATTAGATGAGAAAATAAAACTGTTGGGAATCACCACAAAGGGACAGAAGACAAACTCCTGGGCTCTTAACCTGTCACTCAGTAAAAGCACAATTTGTGCTTCTCTCAGGGGCAATCAGGGCTGAAAAGCTGATTTTGCTAAAAACAAAAATAGTAACAAAAACAGTGACTCTTCACTTGAGCCTATAGGTGCCCAATGGGAAACTAAAAATAGGATAAAGCTTGGTATGTCTGCCTTCATTTTGTATCTGTGTCCTTTATTTCCTTAACCTTGGAGTAAGATTCCTGCTTAGCTGTACCCATAGGCATGTTACTCCCTTAAGGAATGTCTATAAAAACTGGCAATACAAGGTTTCTTAGTGCTAAATGTATCTAACCCATTTCATCTGCCTTGAAGACTAAGGACAGGGAGGTAAGTGTAACCAAGATATTCTCAAGATTCACAGAGACATCCAACTGTCAGCTTTTCTTTTCTTTTTCTTTTTGATATGGAGAACTGAACTCATGACTTTGCACTTGCCAAGTAGATGCTGTGCTGCTGAGCTGTGTTCCTGCCATTAACTACCAGCTTTTACAATGTCCTGAAGTGGCTCTTAGAAGTTTGAGTCACTGCCCCAAGCCTACAGTTGCCTTCAGTTCCAGCAGGGCGTCCGCAGGACTGAGACTGCTTCTCTTAACCCCCAGCAGAGGCAATCACCTTATTGGAACCAGAATTGCTTCCCCAAACAATGACTTCTCTGGAGCCACCTCATAGTGTCAGAATGGGGATAATTATCAAATAGACCCACTCCACCAGCCCCATAAAAACTTGTCCCTGTCCTTTGTCAACAACCAGGCTGTCAGTGCCATGGCCCCTTCAACTGTTTACTTAAAGCTTAAGTCCCTCCCCTATTTTACCTTACTTTCTGAGTCTTGCTGTGTAGTTCAAGCTGCCCCTGAGCTCACTATGTAGGCTAGACTGGCTTTGAACTCACAGCAATCTTCCTGCCTCAGCCTCTTGAGTGCTGGGATTACAGGTGTGAGCCACCATGCCCTGCCTTTGTGTGTGTGTGTGTGTGTGTGTGTGTGTGTGTGTGTGTTTAATTTTAGGAAAAAACCAAGAAAAATCAAACAGAATAAAATCAATCCTTGGTGTGTTTTTTAAATTTCCGTAATCACTGGATCAAAGGACCCCACATATGGTATCAAAATGACTGACAAGAAGGAGGGGTAAGAATGCCATGGAATGCCCATGAACCTCCTGACCAGTTGGTAGAAGAGCATGTTACTCAATTCCCTGTCCCGGGGACAAAATACTTGACACCTGCAATATACAGAAGGAGATGTTTGTTTTGGGTCTCATGATTTCAGAGAATTCAGTCTGTGGTTGGCTGGCTTAAGATAAAAACAACATGGTTTAAAAAAAAAAAAAAGAAATGCCACGGTAAAAGTAGTTGGAGGAGGAAAGATGATTACATTGTGAGAGTCAGGAAACAGAGGTCAAAGGAAGGAAATGGGTTCAGAGGTCTATCCATAGATTGCATCTGCTATGACCTGCCCTTTCCTATCAGGTCACATTTTATGAATTTGTCGGTGGATTAATCTAATGATTATATTGCCCCCGTAACCTAATCACCTCCCAACAGTGCCACCTCTGAACACATACGACATTCTTGAAGAGAAGGAAGCTGTGAGATAGCGGAACTCTCTTTTTCTAAGGCAAAGACCATAATATGACACTGGATGTGTGACTAGACTGCACAAAAATGAACCAGACCCTTGGAAACCAGGTCTCAGGTCAGCTACGTGAGTCTTTGCACGGGGTTCGGTCGCACTGACTCTATTTAGTCATCCTGTTTTTGTTTCTTTTCTCTCCAAATCCTCATTGCACCTTCACCTGTCTCCTGTTTCCTTTCTTTTTCCTTGCCTTTCTTCTTTACTTTATTTCTTCATTTCTTTGGTAAGTAGAGTACAAGAATGAAAATTCTTCTGTCGTCTTAGGCTCACCATTTGGAATTATTTTCATTGGATAGAAGAACATAAATACTGACATAGAAAGTCTAGTGGCTAGTTGGTAAAGCCTTGAGAATTATCCTGAAAGTCAGTTAAACGCAAATCTCAATTGAGAATTGTTTTCTTGATATTTTCCATTTCTCCTAAAGTTGTGGATGAATTTCAGATTAGCTTAAATTTCTGGTTATTTGATCTCTGTTCAAAACTTTTTTTTCACTACTCTCCTCTGTCCTTTTCCAGATGCTGAAAATTTTTTTCTGCATTAAGATACTAGCAAAAGGGCTACGGACTTAGCTTAGTGGTTTAAGCGCCTGCCTGGCAAATGCGAGATTGTGAGTTCAATTCCTGGTTTAAAAAAAAATAGAAAAAGATACTAGCAAGAAACTGGGGATGGTGGCTGAAGCCTGAAATCCTTAAGCTTTGGGAGGTTGAGGCTGCAGAATAGCAAGTTTGAGTCCCAATGCAGACAACCTAGCAAGATCTTGTCTTACAATAAAAAATAAAGGGTTCTATGGATGTAGTGAAGTGTGAAAGCCCTGGGTTCAATCTTCAGTATGAAAAAAAGATAAAAAAGATATTAGTAAGAATATAATTTCTTCTAGTTTTATAAACTTTACACATATCTGGCTGCAAGATCATCTTTATATGCATAATTATATCTGAAAACATTTTATCTTGATTAATTAAGGTATTTTTGCTTTTTACTAACAGCAGGGAAGAGTTTCTGGAAAGGCCTCCAGAGCCACTTAGGCTCTTTGAAAGGTTTGCAGTCCACAAGTCCAGATTAGCACATGTCTGCTACCACTTCAGTTTCTATCTGGTAGAGCAGAAGTGTGGTAGTTACATATTTCCAGTCACTTCTGTCACGATTTAATGCTACCAACATAATTAACTGCCTTAACTTAAAAAAATGCTTTTATATTTGAAATGTTACAGATTTTTATTGTAGCAGATTATGAAATACAGAGCAATATAAAGGAGAAAACATGTATCACCCATAATTATACTGTTGGATAATAGCAGAATCAATATTTTGGTAAATGTCCCTCAGGGTTTTTTCCTACTCATACAGTTTTTAAATGTATAAGTAAAATTTTATATGATGATAAGGGTTTAATTTTGGGGTAACTATTTTTTGCTGAAATACATGTATCACACATATTTCCCCCATGGAGTTAAATGTTCATTATACAACATAATATTAAATGGAGTTCACCAGCCAAGCCAACTTGTCCGAGGTTGACCACTCAGTTGCTGCTACTTCCATGTGTTCTGGGTTCATGGTTCTTGACCACATGATAAGAGCCCTGAGTGCCTCAAGTTTGAGGACAGGTTTTTAATAAGTAAACCTTTATAGCACATTATTAAAAGAGAGTGCACAAGATTTTGTTGTGTAAATATATAATTTCTTTCAGATATACCTTCTTCCAACTTCGATTAAATTGTCATTTTTTTTCTCACTGTCTTGGGTAATGCAGACCAAAGCAGCCTTGTACACAAAGTTTGTGAGAATCTCTAATTACTTCCTCAGGACAAATTCCCAGAAGTGGCAAGGTGGCTAGTAGAGTTCATTTATTTTCTTGGTGATACTGGGAATTAAACTCAGGACCTCATGCTTGCCAGGCAGGCACTGCGCCAGTGAGCTAAATTCTTGGCCCCTTTATTGGAGTTTAACATTTTTAAGTCTTTGCAGAAATTCTGCCAAACTGGCCTTTGGAAAGTAGGTACTACTTTATTCTAAAGAGCAACTGTTAATCTGTATTTCTATATGATGAGTAATTGTTCTTCAAAATGGAATTATACTAACTTGAAAAATAGCAATCTCACTTTCATTGAAATTTCTTGGAATACTATTTCATGTCCTTAATTGGCCATTTGCATGCAGGCCTAGGGAATAGTTCACTAATGCTATCTCTTCAATTTCTGACCGCGATCATTAACTTTTACTTCTTGGTTTGCAGATGAGCTAATTGATAATTTTTACTCAGACCATTTCCAAAGATGAATAATATTACAACAATGTTTGTTTTTCTATGTTTTCCGTGTTTTGTCACTTTCTGTAAGGTGATGGAAAATGAATACATGTTAAATACTGGTCAGTTTATTCAACTTCCAAATTTATAAATAATCTTTCTCCTTAATCTAGTCATGTGGTTATTCTGTTTTATATATATATATATATATATATATATATATATATATATTTTTTTTTTTTTTTTTTTTTTTTTTTTTTTTTTTTTTGTCCTTTTGAAACAGGGTTTTGCTATGCAGTTCAGGCTGGCCTTGGGCTCACTTTGTAGCCCAGGCTGGTTTTGAACTTTCAACAATCCTCCTGCCTCAGCTTCCCAAGTGCCTGGATTACAGGAGTATACCACCATGCCCAGCTGTTTTAAAATTTTGCAATGAGTACTTTTTAACAAGAGCTAAATTTGCTAGCAAAACTACTTGCTACCACTATTTCATCTTGAACCCTACTGTTCCATATAGCTGCTACTAGTTACATGGTAGTAGTAGTTACTGCTACTAGTTGCTATCTGACTTTTAACTTAAAAAATGAAATCCAGCCAGGTTCAGAGATACACAACTGTAGGCCCTGCTACTTGAAAGGATGACGCAGGAAGATTACAAGTTTGAGGTCAACCTAGCAATTTAAGCCCTGTCTCAAAAAAAAAAAAAAAAAAAAGTAAGAACATAATGGCTGGTACTGCAGCTCAGTTGCAGAGCACTTGTGGATTGAGGTCCAGGGTTCAATCCCTAGTACTGAAAAATAAAACAGAAAGTTATCCCTAATAACTGTAAATGGTTGGCTAGTAGTCACCACTCTGGACAGCATAGATACAGAGTTTTCTCACCTCGTAGATAGCTCTGGATAATGCTGAGCAAGAGTCTGACTTTCACACTCACTGGACCTGCTGCTTCCCACATCTCCTGGCCTCTCCATAGAACGCCCTTTTCCTTTTCTTTGGATAATTCCTACATGTCCTTCAACATGTAGCTCAACAATCACTTACCCTAGGGAGTTATTTATTGACCGCCCATGTTCTAGACCGGATCACACACCCTTATGGGGGCTATTCGCGCCCAGGTATGAAGTGCACATCTGGTCTCCTCTGGTTGACTGGTTCCTGCCCCCTAGCAGCTGGGGAGGGGTCCTTCACAACTTGATTTCCCACTGCTCAGTTTAGTTTCAGGAAAACAGAGCTTGGTACAGATGGAATAAATGGACTACCCACCATTGCCCCACCTTATGTGAAGATGATGGTTTATCCCTAAAAATTCTCTAGAACAAAAAGCATCCCCAAAAAAGTATTCAATAAGCAATATCTTTATATTAGCTATAATACAATTATTAAGTATAATATAATAAGACCACGGATAGGCTTTTGAGCTACTTCATAAAGGTCAGTTATCACAGCAGTATTACTCCTTCTTTGAGATCTGTACGTATCTTTATACTGCAACAAGAATATATCATTGGAATAATTATAAACCATATCTTCCTAATGATTTCCACCAAAATAAAATCCAACTGAAAGCTTTTGTTTTTTCCATCCTCCTCCAGAGTCTATCTAGGGGCTTCATCTCATTTTCTCTCCACAGTTACAGTATGTTGCTTGGCAGAATGAAGATTTGTGAATGTTAAGCCCAGGATACCTTTTTTACTTTGAACTGAAAAAATGTCTTGATTAACATACGTTTCTTACAAGACAAAATTTAAAATAATGACATAAATAAAGAATAAAGGGAAAAATTCACGGATTGCCACCAAATGACAATCTCAGTTTATATTTGATGTATTTTCTCCCTCCCTTTTTGTATACATTGATATATATATATATGTGTGTTTCTTGGAAATGTGACATCATACTATATGGTTTTTAAATTAATTCTAAAAATGTATCATAAAATATTATTCTCTAGCTGGGAGTAGTGGTGTGCACCTGTAACTCTGGCACTGGGCAGGTGCAGGCACTCAAAAGGACAGCGAGTTCAGGGTCAGCCTGGGATAGACAGGGGGACTCCTTCTAAAAAGATAAACAAAATGAAACAAAACAACAAAGTTACTCTCCATTTCTCTGAAACCTAGACCATCCTCATTTTTTCCCTCTTATTAATCATGCCGTGATGGTCTCCTGACTAAACGTCTCCCGCGGGTCTTCAGATCTGAACCTGTTCTTTTTCAAGGTGGAAACAAAGAATGACTTTTGCGGGGAGGTGCTAGAGGTGATTGTAAACCTGCCCAGGCCAATCAGGAACAAACCAGTCAAATAAATGGGCCTGGACTATCATTCTGAGCTTAGCAGGCCAGTGTTGTGGATTTCCTGAAAAACAACCTAGGCAAACCTCATCTGCTTGTGATTTTTTTCAGGTGGGGAGAGGTGGGTGGAGGAGGGTTTGCAATGGCAAAAAAGGAGAATCCAGGCATTGTAGGAAGAAAATGAATACTTGTCACTAAGTCAGTCATAGCTTCATGAGAAACACACATCAGTTGCTTGGTGGCAAGTAATAACCTCCAGCAGGACATACCAACTCATTGAGCTTAAGAATGAGCTATGTGGGCAAGAGATATAGCTCAGTGGCAAAGTACCTGCCTGGTAAGTGCAAGGTCCTGAGTTTGATTCCCAGAAAAGGGGAGGAAAAGCCACATAAGAGAGGAGGATATAGAACTGGTTAGCTTGCTCCCTTGAGTTTACTTTCTGCTCCTTGATTATAGGCTGTGTGTCATGGAGTTCCCCCTGGGGGCTGTTCTGTACACTTCCTCCAAATCTGAAAGTGATAGGAAGATTCAGGGCTCCTTGGGTGTCTGTTGGTGCCAGAGGTGATGTGGCTCCCACTGTGACTGTCCTGGCAGAGGCTGAGGTAGGGATTGCAAAATATACTAAAAATGATACTGTTTGAGGAGAACTATCTCTAGCTTTTGTTCTGGTAGTTTTCCTAATAGAGCCACCTCTATTTCAAGAACTGAGGAATTCTGCAGAGTGCTGACCATAATGAACCCTAAGTTCTTTGCTACCTAGGGAGATAGAGCAAGAATGCTGCATTACAAAGAACAGGAAAAGGAAATTAAGTTTTGTGGGCAGGAAGACTCCACCTTTCCTCTGGGGACAGAAAAAGACCAAGAGGTCGGATGGGGATACTTTTTGGCTCAGCTAAAACAAGACTTTTTCCACATATCTCAATCTCAGGTAGCCTGGGATCACAAAGGGGCTGGCTTCATAGAGGACTGGCAGACACTAAACGATGGCACCTGAAAAATGAGCACACAACTTTTACAAGTGTGGGGAAAGATGGCATCTTGACCTGAGAATGACATTCTGAGTTTAAGTTAATGACATAGTTTCCTTTATAACTTTCTAGGCTCTAGACAGTTTAAATTTATAATCAGCTAGGCTATTAAAATATGGCAGCCAAGCCAAAGGAAAAAGAACAGAGTGAAAGAGGAGGAAGAGGCAGAGACAAAGGAGAATGAGTCTGCTGGGTGGTTTCCTTGAGGTCTAGTAGTGCCAAGGATGAGTTGAAGCAACACATTAATGTTTACAAGTCTCATTAAACACACTGAAGTTTGTTTGGGGTGTTGTTAATCTGCCGACTCGTGGCTTCTTTTTTCAGCCTTTGGTTTTCTGCAAGGCCAGACTTTTCTTCTTGCAAGGATTTAAAAATAAAGTCTTAGACAGATTCTGTAAGATTATTCTGGTTTTAATTGTAACTATGGATGGGCTAGGATGGGCTACATGGATGTAACCCAGTGTCTGTGTGCCAGAAGGATAAAACAGAGCTCTGTGGTACGGGTGACAAACACAGGATCCCCTCAAGATGTCCCTAAAGTGTCTTCCCATCTTTATCTGCATTTAATTCCAATGGCCTGGCTTTCTCCCCATGGCACAAGCACTGTTGCCTACTCTATGGTCCTTTGGGTCTCTGTCCCAACCCTAAAAGATCTTTCTCTAAAGCCTTCTCATTTCTACCTGAAGGTCAACCACCTCAAGAGTCTCCTGCTAGGGGCTGGGGATTTAGCTCAGCGGCATAAACGCCTGCCTTGCAAGCAGGCAGTCGTGAGTTCGATCCCCGGTACCGATAAAAAGGAAAAAGACAAAAATAAGTAAGTAAGTAAGTAAATAAATAAATAAATAAAGAGTCTCCTGCTCTTGGTGGTTTCACTTCCTGGAAACTTTCCTCTGGCCAGGGGTTTCTGGCCACCCACCTTCCTACTGTGAACAGATTTCTAAGCTCTTCTAACACACCAAAGCTACTTTGGTGTGCATGGCTGCATTTTCCTATATGATTATGGACTTTTTGAGAACAAGGATCATGTTACTAATTTTTGATCCTTTAGCAACTAAAGGAGGTGTATTCATCCTGTGGCCCATGGGCCCCATGTGGTGCTGATAGCTAGAAGTGTGGTCCCACACCATGATAAACTTGTAACATTATCTGTGACTTTTAGCCATGGTTTTTCTGACTTGACTGTGTAGGGCTTAAGTGCAGACTGTATAAATGACAATGGGCACAATATAAGGGAGGGCGTAGTACACGGGTAGCTCTACTTCCTGCCTCCATCTTGCAGTGAGTCCAGCTGAAACCCTTGTGTGTCCTGTGTATCTTGGTGAGTAAAACATAGTGATTATTTTTGTTTGTTTGTTTTGTTTTTTGAGGCAGGATCTCACTATATATGCAGGTAGCCCTTGAACTCTGATTGTGTAGCCCAGGCTGGCCACAAACTCAGTGATCTTCTTGCCTCAGCCTCCTGAGTGCTGGGATTACAGATGTGTGCCACTGTGCCAGGCAAACATAGTGATTATGATAATAGTCAATCTACCCATGTGTGTGTGTGTGTGTGTATGTGCGGTGTGCGTGTACCTGTGAAGACAGGCATTTACTGTTATGAAGCAGATGTATGAATTATCGTATTTTATTATTAAACTTGGGCTTCTATTATTTGGTTTTTATGTGATAATAAAAATATAAAAAAGAAAGTTTTGTTACTTATCTACATGAACTATTATATATTAGACAGTTCCACTTTACTCAGTGTGGCCCAGAGAGGCCATGAGTTTGGATAACCATGACCTTGAGTAAGGTCTAACCCTGGAACTGCTCAGCAAATGTTGGCTGAGGAAGCCTATGTGTTTGCGGAGTCCTTTA